ATCAATCTAATTTCATTAAAGTCAGTCAACATAAAAAACGGACATCGCTCTCGGTCTCTTCCTGGTTTGCCTTTTGCCATTTTCCTGCTGTTTTTCCTTCAAGACAATGGGGAGAATTGTGGGGAAAAGCAGGAGAGGGCAGGGGAATGGGCACTTGGGAGTGCTCTGTTTTTTTTTGGGGTTTTTTTGGAAGGGGGTTTCGAGGGGAAATTTAATTTTTCTGTTAAAAAATATATATAAGGAAAAATTCTGGATTTCTTGTCTAGGGAAAATTCAAAGATTGAAAATTTCAACATATTTCTACTATTTAAAACTTCAAAAAAGCCTTTTCTAACCCAAAATTTAGTTCGTTAATTTATTCAAATTCACCTTCATCGAGTTGGCGATCCATCAGCCTTGACTTGGGTACAGTTGCTCCCAAAAGGTGGGTTATTCTATTTTATTTATATATTTTTTTCCAGTAAAAGAAAGTAATTCCTTTGCCAAGCATAATGTAAATCTCGTGTTAGGGCCCCGCACATAACTCAGGCCGAAACACGGGCAATAAAACATTTTCCATTTTCCCACCTAATGACACACACACGCCCACCCACCCACATCACATCACCCACACTCCCACACACACGTGAAGGAGTGAAAATGGGGGGAAAAGCCGGCCGGGTTCATAAATTCAATTCCATTCGACCAGCAGCTGCAGTTGATTTGAGTTGAGACTCGCGTTTCAAGTGATTTTCTTAATGTAGTTCAAAGGAAACCGAAGATCTTGGGTAATGGGAAAATGGGGAAAAGGGAAAGGGTTTTCGTTTTTCGTCCTGGCAAACTCCTTAAGTGCTCCGCCTGATCTAATAAATTTTCACTACGCCGGGGTCCTGCTTCTGGCTTTTCCTCCGAGTTTTTGGAGGCGTTACAGATTTTTGAATAATATTTCACTTGCAGGTGGCTATGCATCATGTGTGTGAGTGTGTGTGTGGGTGTGTGCTGGTGTAATTGTCTGAAAAATTACCATGTCTACATGACACGCACCCACGCACGCGCCGCCATTAAATCACATTTTCCAAAGGTGTATTTTGGGTTTGGGAAAAATGGGGGTTGTCTGGGGTGTTTGCATATTCTCTAAGATGTAAGACTTGGGTAAAGGTTAGCAATTTTTTTCTGGGGCATCAATTATTATGTAAAACGTAAGCAATAAATATTATTCAAATAAATAAATAATCATTTAAGTATTGGAAAAGAAATACGTCTTACCGATGGTTAATTTAAGATATGGCCTTGACATTGTGTATAAAAAATAAAAATAAAATAGAAAATTATCAAATAACTTTTTAGGTTGCAAAAATTCATTATTAAATTTTATATGTAAAATTATAAATATAATTATATTAAAAAATATACATAAACTACAAGTCTGAGAAAGATTATATAGACTTGGGGTTTATTTTTCTGTGTTTTACTTATTTTCTAAAATATTTAATAAAATTTTAATGTACTTAAAATATTATTTTTTTAAGATTATGATGACTTTTTATATTTTCAGTGTGACCATTTAATTTTCTTTGATTTTTGTAACATCAAAACCTCTTAGAACTTCTTGAAATTTAAAGTATATATATTCTACAAAAACTAGTTTAAATAATTTTATATAATTATTTAATTATATACTATAATAATAATAAAAACTCAAATTATTTAATGTGACCAAAGGCACACGAAAATAATTTAAAAGCTGCTTATATTAAATGCGAGGACTCCACCCCAAAAACAGTTTGTTTCTGTTAGCCAGAATTTCCAATCAAGCCAAAAAGTCCCCGAAATAGTTAACACATTTTCGCATTCACCTGTCCTCGCACTCACCTGTCTGTTGTGTCCTGTCCTGTCCTGTCCTGTCTCGCCGCTGTGCAGTTGTCAGGAGTGTCGTGGCAAATCTCAGCGTTTATTTTATGTTTGATTGAAACTCTGATTAATTTCAACAGTCACAACGCCCGCACGTCGTCGTCCTTGTCGCCGAGGTATCCCGATTTTGGATGAAAGCCCCGCCCCCCTATATTACCCCCTCCCATTTTCCCCCTGTGTATGCCGTATGTTTGGTGTTGTCAACACCTTGGCACAGGTGCGACTCATTCGCTTTCGGCTTTCATTTGTAATGAGTGCTGGGCACACGTACGGCGCATTGGTTACACGGCAGGAGACACGGCACCGGATGCGGATACGGATGCGGTGGCGGATGTGAACGTTAGGAGTAGGGGTTGGGCACACCCACCCCAAGTATGTGTGTGTGTGTTGGGGGCACAATCTGTCATACGCTTTTGTTAGGGCATCACAAAGGGTATAATGATTTTAAGCAATAAACTGGAATAAACTGGATAAGAGATGGTAAAAATATTTATGTTATCGATAATTCTCGATATATGCATATTTATGAAGTATTTTAAAGTATTTGTATTAAAATGTTTCATAGAATTTCTTGTATTTTTTTTTAAATTTCTCATTTATTTATTTTTTTTTTTTTAATTAATATCTACATTAGTTATACAATTTTCTGTGCCCTTAGAGCATTCCGAAGTCGTGGTTGACCTTCTCCACCTGTTTCATCTGTTGTATTCGCATGATTATCACTTTGCACGTCCTAGCAGCCCGATGCTTTATAGTTCCGTTTGGCCGGCCCATCTGCTCCTGGCCTGGGTACTGTTTATGCGCTTTGCGTGATCACATTTAGTCCTGGGCAAAGGACATACATACACCAGACGCTGTGGAGTGCTACGCAGGTTAAGCTGAGCTGGCTCATAATGCAGGCAACAAGCTCGTAACTCTCGTGGATTTAATGGCCGCCAGTTGTTGTTCTTGTCCTTGTGCCAGAAGGAGTCCCTGGGGGAAAGAAGGAGCAGGAGGAGCATCAAAAGCAGGAGTTAGAACCAGCTAAAGCCAAGATCTAATTGCTGAAAATCAGTGTATAAACTAACCCTATCTCTGCGCTTAGTCTTTTTGCTCCTGTTATTATCCTTAAAAGCCGACAAGACGTTGCCAAGGCCATAACCAAGTTAAAAGCAGCTAAAATAGGCACCTGGGACCTGAGCCAAGAGTTGGAGTTGTGTTGTGCAGGTGCAGCTGCAGATGGCCAGGAGTCCTCGCGTCTCCGCTAAGTAAGTGCCGAGCTCCCAGGCTCTGGCTCTGGCTCTCAGAGATTCCTGTGCTCCTTCGGGGGCCAATCCAGTGCCACAAAATTTATTGACTTTGTCGGTGTGTCCTCAGCATTATCCCTGCCGGCATATTTCCTTCAGCAACGGGTTTAGCTACTAAAATAGTTTAGCTTACGGAGGTCTCAGGCAGGACTCAGGCGGGACTCAGGCTTGATACACAAAGGATAATCAAGACTGAAAGAATTTTAAAATATTATTTATTTTTAGTTTAATTAAAATTAAAACATAAGCAACATAAGAACATATTTTACCACATTAAATTTGCTTTTCTGGCTTTATCTGCAAGTCAAAGATAGCCAGGATTCAGGAATGTCCTGTCTTAATAATTTGGCACCTGGACTAAATTAAAACTGAAGTCCTGGCCATAAATCCAGCTGAGTTCGCCCACAAACACAACACACACACACAGAGAGAGCTCTCCCATGATGATGATGGCAGTGGCAAAGCCCCATCTCAATCTCCACGACCAACTGTCGTCCAGCCATGTCCTTGCTGGCCATGTTTTGTCTCCTGTTTTGCTGGACTTTAACAGCCCGGACCAAGGGGGGGTGGGTGACTGTGTTGTTTATGGGCACGTGTAATCACTTGGCCATGGTCCACTTGATGGCCATCAACTGCGACTGCAGCCAGCTGCATCCTTTCAGCCAGGAGTCCACTTAACGCAGCAGGTTCCTATCGTAAATATCCTTGAACAATGAACACATTCGAATTGTAAATAACTTTAATACTTGAACTTATTAACTCTTAGTGTGGTTTTAAGTAAATTAAAACAAGGATTTTTTATGCGGTTTTTAAACGTTTCGATTTAGCTTTTCCCAGCTGAGTCCTAAATTCTTGAATCCTCGAAGTGGTCGGCCTCCCTCTCTCACTCTCTGTCCTATTTTAACTCGATGACCCTTTGATTTCTGTACCTCCGTGCACCTGCACCTGCTGCAGGACACGGAAACAGGAATGCACAGAGGAGAGCCAGGAAGAGGAGCACATGGCTGGAGGCAGACATTTGGATGGACACTCCGATGGAAGGACACACTCACACACATGAGCACATTCCTGTGAATTTTTGTGAATTGAAATTTTTGAAATTTCCCGTCACAGTCTGCACTTTTGCAGCGCCGGCCCAGACACATTGGAATCCCGTTAATTGCTCCGAGCGGTAGCTGGTGGAATGGGCGGGGACTTTGCACCCTCGAAAGGCCTATAATGGAAAAGGTGAGGGATGCTCGAAAAGGATTACATCGGCTCCGGCTACACTTTAAATTATAGCAGGAGTGTCCTGGAAATAGCTCAAGTTTTTAAATCAGTTGAAAGTGTGGCCTAAAAGTATGCAGCACAAATAATATCAACAAACTTGCAACATTAATTTTTTTAGCACTATTTTAATTGATTTTCAAAACAATTTTTTTTTAAATATTTTTTTTTATTTAAACAATTATATTTTATCAATAAATAATTTCATAACAATGAAAACCCACAAAAAATAAAATAAAATTAATTTAAAAAATTCTAATTAAATTCTAAATAATAAATAAATAATAAATATAATAATAATAATAAATTATAAATACAACTTTGATATATTTTTGGGCACTAATTTTAATTGATTTTTGAAATATTACAATATTTTATTTTAAACCATTTCATCAGGTAAATTATCAATAAATTAATTAATTAATCTCTTGATAGTTGACTAATTTAATTTAAAATTAAAGAAATTTCCCTCCAACAACATTCTTTTTTTTAACAGACCTCTGTTAACTTCAACTGTTAACCGCCCAAAAACAACTGTTGAGCTAACATAGAGAGCACGAGCAAACCGTACTCTTCGGTTCGATTTGTGGGCGAGGGGCGTGCTCTTCATTGAGTACCCGCTCTCGGAGCAGTTCTCTTCGCAGTCGGTGGCAGCACCAAACATAACGGTTCTCAAGTCAATTTTTGTGTCTCGTCCGCGTCGCGTCGGTGTTTTTTCGCGTTCCGCATTTGTTGTTAAATTGCAGTGTTTTCCTATTGTTTAAACCGAAATCGCACTGCACCTGCACTCCGCAACATGTTTTTTTATGTTTTTAGTTAGTGTGTGTGTGTTTGTGTGCGATTAAGCTGAAAGAAAAACGAGTGCCTGGCCGAAACAAACAGCAAAGAAGCAACAACCACAAGTGCAATACCAACAACAAAGTGGCGACAGCTGTTTCTTAAGATTTTTTTGGCGAAAAATGCAAAATACAGCCGCAAGACAATAAAAAAAAGTAAACGCTAAAGACAAAAACACAATTTACACAGCAGCGTTTACCGTTTTTTTTTTTGTCGCAACAACAGCAGAAACAAAAGTGAGGCAGGCACAAAACAAGTGAAAGACGAAGAAGAAGTGTGCGCAAGTTTTTTCTCACGTGTTTGGCCGAGACGTCGACTGAGGCAGCGGCAGCGAATGCAGAAAGAGGAGCAGGAGAATAGGGAAATTCCCATGCGGCCGTTTATTCCACATTCGCGATGATGATGGAAATGCCAGAGAAGAAGAGCGAGACGACGACGATGATGATGATGATGATGAAGCTGTCGAAACGAGAGAGTAAAATTACAGCAGCAGCCAACAGCTGTTAGAACCAGAGAGCGAGACAGAAAGGTGTGTATGAAAACTTTGCCTTGTGTTTGTTTTTGCCGATCCTTGATCGTGACGCCCTCCCCCCTTGTCCCTCCCTTGGACTTTTCAGTAAGTGTGTCAATAAGAGCTCAACTGGGATTTAAAGAGTGCAAGAAAGAGAGGGGAAAATCACTTGATTTGTCGTCGCCTAATTTGGCAAAAAAAAAAAGAAGAATCTAAAGGAATAAGGAAAGCACAACAAACAAGAAAGTAAACACAAAAAGCATATCAGAAAAGTGAGCAAGCAAATCGAGAAAGAATAACACAGAGTCACAGCAGCGGGAAAATAATTGGGATTCTGCCAAAGTATAAGTTTAAATGATATGTATATACATAAATATATATGTCGGCGAGTTGGTTGCTAAGTGCAAATTTGGAAAGCTTGTTGCTATGGCAACAGAACTATTCGGCATGCTCAGGTATTGGTAGCCTGTAGGTGTCGCTGGCGCGCAGGCGCAATGACAGTTGAGTCGGTAACAGGAGTGTTACTGAGTGAGGTCTGTTCGTCTGTCGCAACAATAGGAGAGAATGAGAGAGACAGCTTGAGATTGTCTAGGAATGACATCTGAGTGAAAAGTAAGAAAAGGTGAAAGGGCCACAGGAAAAGTGGCGTGATGACAGATTCGATTTGACTGCGCAGGCGAACAGAACTCGCTGGCTCGACTACGGTTAAATTAAATAACGGATATCTCCGACATCAGAAGTGGGATTCACCATAGCCTCGCGGGCATTCTGATAAAGTGATTTTCGGTCGATATTAAATTCAGTGGCGCATCGAAGGCTTGCGCAGCCGCGTGGTGCGAGACACCGGAGTCGTGATAGGCAGTCAAATGCACTGGTCGCGTGTTGAGCCGGACGGTTGCAAGTGTCATCAGTGTCGGCCAGAAAATTTGGGGAAGAATGGAAGACAACAACAACAGCACACTGGCGGAACTGCGGCTGAAGTGCGGAGAGCTGGAGTGACGCACTTCAGGCGTGATAACGGTGGTCACATTGCATCTGTGTGCACGAGATGGGTATCAGCGGCTGCGAGCGGCAGCATCAGCTGCATGTAGAAGCGAGTTGATTTGTGTGATTCAACAGTGACAGTATCGGGTGAGCCCTTTCCAATTATTCTTTGATTTGGGAGCTGAATTGGCTAAAAGATGGGAATAGAGATGTGTTTGATTGCAGTGTTGTTTGCACATCTGCCTTCCCATTGGCGAGCCCTGTGCTACGATAGGTTGTGCTTAGACTATCGGAAGCAATATTCGAAAATGGTTTCGGACAGTGGCCTTTGCCGCTTATGTCAGACCCTGTGAAGGAAAAATGTTTCTGTTGAAAAATAATTAATTTAAAAAATTACGAGTTGCCGTCTGTTTGGTCTGCCGTGCCGTTTGGTTTGAAGAGTGCATCTTCTACCTTCAACATGCAATTGTTAAGGCGTTTGGAATTTATCATGATTATTTGCGATAGTTTACATAGATGCATGTTAATCATGGCAAACTCGGAAGAAAAGGCTTTCCGAAGGCTGAAGGTTGTATTAAATGTGTTGACTGTACCAGAGTTGCCATTTAACGTTACCAAATGTGGGTTTCTTGAACCTACTACGCAGTATCTGAGCTATGAGGTGTGCGGTGGAGAAATCAGACCCAATTCCTAGAAAATCCTTACGTTAAAGGTCCGTCCTTTTAATCGGTGCAATTAAGAGACCGTCGTAAGACCATTTATTGAATTGGTGCCTTATTTTCAAAAACGTGCGCCTCGATTTTCTCAGATCATGAGACAGATTCTTCGGCTTCAAGTATCTTTAAGTGAAATGACGATATTCAGAAATTGGAACGAACGTTTTTAATATTATTACAAATGAGCCTGTAATCGTTATTTGTTGGTTCGAAACATCTGATCAAATTTGAAACAGATATAAGCTCTTGTGGATATGGTCCAATGCTAATACACCTAATTAATGGAGACCCTTATGTTGGTGGATATATTGGTAGAACTATGTGTCTTGTGGAGTCCAAGTAGCCTTTGTATGAATTGGAAATATTGGTTGGCGTGCAATTATTCTGACATTTTTGGCATTGTTTGCTCAGATGAGAGTTTGTAGTCTATACTTATTGCAGATGTAATCATTTCTAAAAAAAAAATTAACTGAAGAGCATCATAGAGTAGAGGAAGAGAAAGCGCAAGGCAATTGTGGAATTCTTTTTGTGTCCAGAATTCACATGACTGATTTAACTCCGATAAATAAAAATAAATTGACAGAAAAACGTCTGAACTTAGAATGAAATCTCAAATGACCGACTGATCAACTTCAGGATTCAGGATTTATTGGTATAGTTTATAAACAACTAAAAATAATTGAAATCAACTTGAGTTACGAAGAGGGATTTTAAAGAATACAGAGAGGTGTGAGGCAATGTTATCTGCCAGTAGTGTCCATTAAATTTTGTTGGATAGTTATTAATCAAGGTTATAAATCCGTTATGTGTTTGGGTTGGAAAAAATAGACTCAGCAATATTTATCAGAATTGTTGGAAATGACTAAGTTTAAAGATTGTTGAAAATTGTATCATGTGTAAAGTTGTAAAGTAGTCATCTGGCTGGATACCAGGACCGCAGAGGTGATGGGAAGATGCTCTTGGCGGGGTGCAACTTGCGGCGAACTGCACAGTTAGTAGTGCAACCAATGCAAGCCCTTAAGAGATGCCAATCGGACCCACCCTTTGGGCTTGATACCACCACATGACACAGAGAAAAGTATAAAGAAAGAGAAATTTAAAGCTACGTTATGCTGGTTCGGAAAAGCACTAGTTTTGATAAGGCAAGATTAATTTAAAATGAAAAATGAAAATGGAAAATATGTTAAGAATGAGAGAGAAAGGAGAAAGAAATGAAGATGGAAAATGAAAATGAAGATCGGCACCAAACAGAGTTTATAGAAAAGCTTGATGGTGGCTGATATGTTTTGAGATATCTGTCAAGTAAGCGAACTTTTATAAGTATGCGCATGAGTTTTTGAGGGCATAGCCAAATAGACAAAATAAGCAATGACGTTGATTGATTAAAGATTAAAGTTGATTAAAGATTTAGACGACTCAAGTGGAGATGCGTCTGATTCCCATGTGGGGAATGATGATATGGATGGCACGGTTGATGCCTTGGAATCCCAAGAGGGGATATAAAGACCGCACCATAACAGAAGGAATTGTTATGGCGGGGTTCAGTGGAGACCGCACCATAACAGAAGGAATTGTTATGGCGGGGGTCAGTGGAGACCGCACCATAACAGAAGGAATTGTTATGGCGGGGGTCAGTATGTGGGTGTAAAAGGAAATACACCAGTTGATAAAGCTATGTAATTAGAGAAGTCTGAATTGTAAATTATGATTAAAATGAAGATGTAATTTGTTATGTTATCATGAAACCAAGATGCTTATTTTGTCTAAATGCCTCAATACTCATGTTTAGAAAATTAATGAAATGTTTGTTAACAATAAAATGTAACGAGTACTGAAATTTTAGAATACTGTGATTTAAAGTTAACACACGAGGACGTGTGATTTGTCAGGAAGGCCGTGTCGGATCACATGAAACAGGGCCTACTTTATTCCTATGGTCAGAATATGTGAAGCGGAGCCTTTTGAAATACAAAAAGAGCTTGTACTCTATGGTTTCGAAAGGTTATCCTGCCAAACTAACATTTGAAGACACTAGAAGTGTAAGCGAGAGATCGCCGACTGAGGCACTCGTTGGTGGAATCATTTATAAGGCTGTGAGGGTCCAGAGAGACCGTGACGCAAGAGGTGCGTGTGAGCGTTGCAAAGTGTGCAGCAAGAGCCTGTATAAATTGATGAAGAGATGTTGAGTAAGAGTTGTGGTACGAGCAGAGAAAGAAGATACAGATTTGGTACGAGAAGAGAATGAAGTGGCGAGAAGAAATAAAAGTAAAGCTTATTTGACATGAATAAAACAGATAAAATGAAATGTTAAGTTGAGACCAAAGAGAGAAAAAAGAGAGAATGATAAATGAAAATGACAGTTATGTTTAGAGCTATTAGAAGACACGTCACGCGAGGACGCGTGAATTGTCAGGATGGCCGTGTCGGCGAGTTGGTTGCTAAGTGCAAATTTGGAAAGCTTGTTGCTATGGCAACAGAACTATTCGGCATGCTCAGGTATTGGTAGCCTGTAGGTGTCGCTGGCGCGCAGGCGCAATGACAGTTGAGTCGGTAACAGGAGTGTTACTGAGTGAGGTCTGTTCGTCTGTCGCAACAATAGGAGAGAATGAGAGAGACAGCTTGAGATTGTCTAGGAATGACATCTGAGTGAAAAGTAAGAAAAGGTGAAAGGGCCACAGGAAAAGTGGCGTGATGACAGATTCGATTTGACTGCGCAGGCGAACAGAACTCGCTGGCTCGACTACGGTTAAATTAAATAACGGATATCTCCGACATATATTTTAATTTTTAAAACTAATGAAATTATGTCTTACTTTTATAGGTATTTATATAATTAATTCTAGCAAGGGGCTTCTTTATTTAAAACTAATATAAAACTGTTCACTACTGTTTACTAAATAATATAATTTTATATTAATTTTCTATAAATACCTGTTCATAAATTAGTAAAGTATATATATTATAAATATTTATATATATTATAAAATACTAGGTAAAATTGATCTGAAACCCCAAAGACATACTCAAAGACCCCTATAATCTTGAGTCCAACTGTTTTAGCTGTGGGTGCTGGTGGGCGGTAGTGGGGGGTGAGTCAAACATGGCGCAATATACCAAACAATTCCATTGATTTTTCTTGTGGGAATAGTTGGGAAAGCGACACTGTAGACATAGAAGAAAACAACGGTCTGCTTTTCCGTTGGCAAAAAAAAGGAGCCTTGGCACCACCCAGCGCCCAGTACCACCCACCACCACCTAGGACATCCCACACCCTTCCTCGCACTCGTGACTGCTCCACATCGCTGTCCTTGTTGCTGT